ATGGACGCCCGCAGCGGCCGGCGCTCGGTCGGCCTGTTCGGCCTCAACGAGGGCGGCCCTCGGCCGAAGTGGGCGGGCCCCGCGTGCGCCAGGACGGGAGGGGGAGGGTCAGGAGAAGGAGGAGGCGGAGGAGGGGGAAAGAGGAGGAGGGAGGAAAACAGTGAGGAGGAAGGGGGCGGAGGAGGAGAAAGAAGAAGGAGGATAGTGAGGAGGAGGAGGAGGAGGAGGAGAAAGAGGAGGAGGAGGAGGAAGGAGGGAGGCGGGAGGAGGGAGGAGGGAGGAGGAAAAAGGGAGGAGATAGGAGTGGAGTGGACCCCATCGCGAGTGCGATCCTAGCGAAGCAACCGATTGCATTGCGCCCTTCTCTCACGTCACGCCTGCGCCAGCCTGACTCAGGTACGGGATGTTACGCCCTCTGCCTGGGAGATGTCCCCTGCCATGCATCGTAGAACTGCCCGCCGTACTTGACATGGTTGTGAACTTCACCATTATTGTGAGCTGAAAGCCACTCAGGTCCCTCGCGGCACAACACTGACCTTGACATGGTTGTGAACTTCACCGTTATTGTGATCTGAAAAGCCACTCAGGTCCCTCGCGGCACAACGCTGACTATCATACCATACCGTAAAACCTGAACGCGTGCGCCACAACACTATGTGCGACGCGAAAATTGAACAACCAAGTTGAATGGTACAACGCACCTTTGAACACCGAGTGTACTTATAAGCCCACAACACCAAGCGCAGAGCTTTACTGTGAAGAACGGAAGCCGACCCGAGTATACGAGTAAAATCTCCTGGCACCGCTGGAAACCAGCGGCTGGGCGAACGGTTAGACAGGATCCACCCGAACCTTACTGCCGAGCCACAATCCACCCACCAAAGGCGTCAAGTAGCTTCACAACAACCGCCCGCGTCAGGCCGCGCAGGGAATCTGAAATCCGGCGCTTCCGCTATGACCTCCACAATTGCCACACTGAGCGAAAGTGAAATGAACAATAGAAATACACAGTGCGAACATGAGAGCGAAGTGACCAAACAATACAAATTGATTGCCACAAAATAGAATACAAATGAAAATATGTGAAGGCCCCAAAAAGGTAGTACGCCTGAGGTGGGCACGGAGAAGGGCCATTCGGCACCGTGCCCACCCCAGGGCGGACCGCGGCGTAGAAGCACAGGACCCGACACTACAGGTGCAGGAACCAGTTAAGCACGGAGAGGAGCCCGAACAACGTGAACCCGACCCGATCTGTCTTCGGAGAGTGCTCCACGGTCGACGCCTTCAACAACAAAATTGCCGAGCCTAGCTTTCCTCGTCCTTAGCAAACCCCAAATAGAACCGAGGAGTGTGTCCACGGCGCCGTTGAGGAGTCCACAAGCACGCGACGATGACGCGACGAGGGCGGGGGCGAGGGCCGACCATGCGCTAAAAAGGGCTATGGGGGGCACGCGCGCCGCTTGTGCTTGCGGGAGGAGATAGGAGGGAGGAGGAAGGAGCAGGGAGGAGGGAGGAGCAGGGAGGAGCAGGGAGGAGGGAGGAGGGAGGCGGGAGGAGGGAGGAGGGAGGAGGAGCAGGGAGGAGGGGGAGGGGGAGAAAGGAGGCGAAGGAGGGGGAGGGAGGAGAGGAGCACACGGAACAAGGAGGCGCAGGGGGGCAGGGTAGGAGGCGGAGGTGGAGGAGACGTGGGGGGAGGAGAGGAGGAGGCGGACAAGGAAGAGGACGAGGGCGAGGAGAAGGAGGACGAGGAGAGGAAGAGGACGAGGAGAGGAGGACGAGGAGAGGAAGAGGACGAGGACGAGGAGAGGAAGAGGAGGAGGCGGACAAGGAAGAGGACGAGGGCGAGGACGAGGAGAAGGAGGACAGGTTCGCGCCATGCGTCGCCGCGGTCGGGCTGGCCTTCTTGGGCTCGGGCGTATTCCACGCGTGCCTGCTCGTCAAGTTCACGCCCGTGTACAGCGAGACGGAGTGCGGCGACGAGACGGCCATGCTCGACCGCTTTGAGTTCGCCAGCTCCGTCGACCTCGGGATGGATATCAACGTGACCTGCAGGAGATCCCGCCTTCGCTCATGTTCCCTCCTCCCTTTCCGCCTCGCATCCTCCACCCCTCCTCCTCCTCCTCCTCCTCCTCCTCCTCCTCCTCCTCCTCCTCATCATCATCATCATCATCATCATCATCATCATCATCATCATCATCATAATCATCATCATCATCATCATCATCATCATCATCATCATCATCATCTCCTTCCTCCTCCCATCTTCCCTCCTCATCACCATCCGTACGTAGCCATTTTGGTTCAAGTTCGAAGCGCGACTCCCTGATGCTTCGAGCTTGATCGCAGCCAATCGCAGCCGAGGGGACTGCTCGAAGTTTGGACGCAGCTGCTGCCCTTGGTTTGCTTGCCCCATCCTCTCTGGCCAGCTCGGGTCCCGATCCGCTCGGGGGCGCGATGGCACCAAAGAAGAATTCTGATTATACTTCCCCTGAGTTGGCATCTGAGGTGGAAATGCCGCCTTCGCCAAGATCAGCGAATCCCTGGTCATGGTGTCTACTCTCTCTCTGCGCAGGTTGCTGTCCTTGCCTCGTCCTTACCTTACAAGCGAGTCAAGCGGCTCTTGACACGCAGAAGGTTCATTTGGAGAACACAGATACGATTTTGGCAGCGACTGCTGAGTGGTCGTCATCCGTCAGCGGCATGAGCATGAACAACAGCAGTGGCGGGGGTGGTGTGGCCAAGAGAGTGCGTCTCACTCGGGCTCTTCCCGCTCGTCTCGGTTCGCCCGGCTTCCTGTCCAGGGTGGCCATGGTAGGTTTCGGAGGTGAGCTTACCCGTAAAGTTCTAAAGTGTGTTGCTGTTCTCTCGTGTTGTGCGTCCGAGGAAGCCAAGGCAATGAGGAATGGAGCACGCACCCCAGAAATTCCCCAAAAGTGTGATCCCTGCGTTCGCCTCGGCTGACGCAGCAGATGATTCCATCGCCACGTTCCGTCGCAGCTATCCTGAAGGTTTCCGTTTCAAGACGCCCAGAGGGGGATAATTGTTTGCGTGTGAGGACGTTCCACTAGCAAACAGTTCGCGGTCATCGGTGAGCTTTAGTGGGAGATCGAGAAAGTAGTGAAAGACGTTCCCGCCCTTGCTGGTTGGAAGTGTGATTCGTCAGTCAGCAATGGTCTTGTCTTCATGAAGGATGAGAAAACTGCTGACGCGCGCAAGCTCTATTGTGCTTAGACGCCAGGCTCGGTGTTCGAAGGCCCTCGCGCGACTGCAATCGCTCGCGACTTCGGCGCTGTGCGGTCTCAGGGTCAGTGTCAGGAGTTTGCAGATCGTGTCATGTCCTCCTCCTCCTCCTCCTCCTCCTCCTCCTCCTCCTCCTCCCCCTCCTCCTTCCCCTCCTCCTTCCTCCCCCTCCTCCTTCCTCCTCCTCCTTCCTCCTCCTCCTCCTCCTCCTCCTCCTCCTCCTCCTCCTCGGGTCTGCGACGGCAGCCACTCCAGTCCCACTGCTCTGTTTGTCCCTGCGGGGACCTGCGCGGCCCGTGCAGGAGCTCGTCGCCCTTCTGCGCGCGGGCCGCTTCTCAGGAGGGAAAGGAACACACAGACACAATGAATCGGCGATTCCCCAGAAAATATGGGAAAATATGGGAAGTGGGGGGGAAGACAAAAAAAACAGAAAATATGGGAAAATATGGGGCATCGTTTTATTCGTGTGTGTATTTATTTGTGTGTCCCAGGGCCCCTTCAGTTTCTCTGAGGCGCAGTACATTCTAGGGGGGATTGGTTCTGCCACGTTCCTCCCCTTCGCTTGCTAGCCCACCGTCGCGTGGAGTGTCAGAGGGTCGTTTGCCACCGCATCCAGCATGCAAGCTTGGGCCTGCACTAGGCGGAAGCAGCGCAGCGGTCTCATAAGGCGTCACCCGACTGCCTGCACTCAAGAGTCTCATGGGCAACACGGGGATCTTGCTGCTCGGCGGAAGGAGTTCCCGTCGCACTCTTTTTTCCTGTGCCCTCATCCTGACCGCGCTCCTGGACGCGGGGTCTTGGGTCCGTTTCAGGAGAAGCTGGTTTCGCAGTTTCACGGATGCACTCTGAAGGTGTTGACCTTTGGGAAGGCGCCCCATGCCCAGGCGTGCAGAGCAGGGTCTGCTTGGAACCGCGGCCAGTCAGCTTCCTAGTGCAAGAGTTGGTATCGGATGATACCGCGATTGGCTATCTTGTTTACTTGCCGCTCCTCTGCCAGTCGCCGCCGCCGCCTCTCGCGTCGCGCCCGGGGGGGCCATCTCGTTCTCGGCGACGAGGGTCGCTTCAATTAGCATGGCGAAGGACCTGGTCGTGTGCAGCCGTGAGTCTCGCATCAGTGCGCATCGCCTTCGGTGGAGCTCCCTACGGGGCCGCGAGACGCTGCGCTGGGCGGGGGAGACGCAAGCGGGCACCGCCACGGAGGCCTTCGGTGGAGCTCCCCACGGGGCCGCGAAGCGCTGCGCTGGGCGGGGGAACCGCGCGCGGAAGCCGCCGCTGGCGCCTCCGGCGGAGCTCCCCGCGGGGCCGCGAAACGCCTTGCTGCGCGGGGGCCCGCAGGCGGACGTCGCCGCTGGGGCTGTCGAAGGAGCCCCCGATGGGGCCACGAAACCTCGCGCCGGGCGGGGTGGCCCCGCGCGGCCACAGCCACCGCGGCCTTCGGCGGAGCCCCCCTGCGGGGCCACGAAACGCTATGCTGGGCGGGGGGGCCACGCGCGGATGCCACCACGGGGGCCTTCGGCGAGCCCCCCATGGGACCACGAAACGCTGCGCTGGGCGGGGGAACCGCGGGCGGACACCGCCACTGAAACCTTCGACGGGGCTCCCAGTGGGGCCAACTGAGGGGGGGGGGCATGCGGACGTCGCTGACGAGGCCCTCGGTGGAGCTCTCTATGGGGCCACGAAGCGCTGTGCTTTGCGGGGGGAACCGCATGCGGGCACCGCCACTGAAGCTCGCGGTGGGGCCCCCTATGGGGCAAAGAAGGGTTCTCCTGTGTGGGGAACCCCATGCGGACACCGCCACTGGGGCTTTCGGTGGTTTTCCTGATGGGGCCACGACGCGCTGCACTGGGTGGGGGAACCGCATGCGGGCGCCGCCACGGAGGCCTCCGTCGGAGCCCCCTTTCTGGGGCCGCGAAATGTTGTACTGGGCGGGGAGTGGCGTGGTGATGGTGGGGCGGGGGGAGGTGCACATGCGGACGCCGCAACTGCGGCCGTCGGCGAAGGCCCCTGCGGGGGCGCGAAACAGCGTGCAGCGTGGCGAAGGGGGGCGGGCGCATGCGGACGCCGCCAATGGGGCCTTCGGTGGGGCACCCGATAGGGGCCACGAAACGTCGTGCTGGGCGGGGGGGCCGCGCGCGGACGCCGCACCTGGAGCCGCCGGTGGAGCTCCTTATGGGACCGCGAAGCGCTGCGCTGGGCGGGGGAACTACGCGCGGGCACCGCCATGGAGGCCTTCGGTGGAGCTCCCTATGGGGCCACGAAGCGCTGTGCTGGGTGTGGGAACCGCACGCGGACGCAGCCATTGAGGCCTTCGGTGGAGTTCCCCACGTGGCCACGAAGCGACACGCTAGGGGGGGGGCGCGCGCGGACACCGCTGCTGAGGCTTTTGGTGAAGCCCTCGATGGAGCCACGAAGCGCTGCACTGGATCGGGAGCCGCGTGTGGACGCCGCCGCTGAGGCCTCCAGTGAAGCTCCCTATGGGGCCACGATGCGTTGTGTTGGGTGGTTTAACAGCATGCGGGCACCGCAGTTGAGGCCTTCGGTGGAGCCTCCCCATGGGGCCACGAAGCGCTGTGCTGGGTGGGGGAACCGCATGCGGACGCTGCCGCTGAGTCCGTCGGCGGAGATCCCTATGGGGCCACGAAGCGTTGTACTAGGTAGAGGAACACCATGCGGACACCGCCACTGATGGAGCTCTCTATGGGGCCAGGGAACGCTGTGGTAGGCGGGAGAAACGCGTGGGGACACCGCCACTGCAACCCTCGGTGGAGCTCCACATGAGGCCACGAAATGCTGTGTCGGGCGGGGGGGCCGCATGCGGACACCGCCACTGAGGCCTTCGGACCAGTTTTGGCCCGAGTGTTTAACGAGCTCTGCCGGCTTTCTCGTGTTATCTGATTGGAATTGCACGTCGGGAAAATAATTGTTTCAGTATGCGGGGGATGTGGAGCACGACGGGTTCGCGCGCATCTGACGGCTCTAGGTAACGGATGCGAGCGGTGCACCGTTGTGCGATGGCGCCAATATTTGGGATTTCGCGTGGGTCCCGATGCTCATATGAGCTTCTTCCCTACTGGATGCGACGAGTATGTTCTGCGCGCGTGCAAGATTCGACAGGCGGGGGCGCGTCTCTCAGAGTTCATGGCCGCCAACGAGATTCGGCTTGTATCTCTTCTTAATTATGTCCTCCAGTTCATTAGGCCCACTAGTACTACCCGTCAGATTCAGCTTGAAGGCCGCGCGATTCATATTATCAGTGTTGGCCTTCGCCATTAGCTTCAGTGGTCCCATGGTGCGTTGTCTCATCGACCCATTGTGCGACACCCAGTGTTTGTGTACAGTAAGCGCGTCGCTCAGGCTTTTGCGCTCCAAGCAGCTAGAAGCGCGAGTGCTCGGTGGAAGGTTCAGATCGACGTGCCAGCTTTGTGCAAACAGTTGGGGGCCCTACCCCGCACCGCCTGCATCGCGGCTGATTTGTGAAGTTTTTTTGTTTCAGATATGGGAGAGGCCCATGCGACTCGTTTACTTCGGATTCGCGCTTTCTGCCCCGAATATCCACATTCGGTGACTCGGGCGAAGATCACCAAAGGTCTTCGGGAAGACGGCCGTCCTGGGGCTATGTTCGACCGAAGTTTCTCGTCGCGGTCTGAATGCGTTGCCACTCAGTCTCACTCCCGACGTTCGGTCTCCCGTTTTAAAGGTTGCGCCTGAACAGAGTCTGCAGTTCAGCTTCGTTTGTTTCGTGGCCACCACTTGCAGATTCTTTTGCGCGGGGGTCTGGAAGCTTGTTCGCTTGGGCTTTCAACCGAGACGCTAATTGTTCGGTTGTCGTGATGGTCGTGGCGATCCTCTAAAGTTGCCCTCCTCCTCCGCCTCCTCCGCCTCCTCCTCCTCGTCCTCCTCCTCCTCCTCCTCCTCCTCCTCCTCTATCTGCGCTGCCCGAAAAAGCTCGGGCTGCCTCTCCTCCAGGGCTCGCCCTCTCTCTTCCCTCTCGGCATCGCCTGCTCCCTTCCCGGCCCTTGGCTGCGTCGACGGGCGCCCCCCCCCCGACACAAACCGCGATTTGGCGTTGTGTGCTCAGGCCGAATTCGGGGATGGACAGACCCCCCTTTAGTAAAACGGGGTTTAGTGAAAACAACCTGAGGCCCAAACCTGGCGGGCGCAAGCCTGGACAATGACGGCCACGGCGCCCTCTCGAGAACCGAAAACGGACAATTCACTAATCGACGTGTTACTGTTCGGGGTTCTGTCCACCCCCGACGA